CTAAATTCGACGGCTGTCGGTAGCTGGCGCATGATAATTAATTAGTTCCAAAAGAAATCTAGTAATTACGAAAGAACAATGTGTCCGTGATTTAAAAAACCTGTGTGGTGCAAATACTCACTTAATTATTGGTTAAAGGATATTTTATTTTAAGTGTGAGATTCAATTTTTATCCCTTCCTGCATTTCTCTGTTGTGATGATGACTGTTGCTACCTAAAAAGGCAGTTAGTAAATTACACCCTTGTTCAGATTCAATATCTCTTATTAACAATTCTAACCTTACTAATCTCTAACCATTGTTTTTATCAAAAAAAAAAAAAAAAGTGTCCATGATTTGCAATTAAAAAAGGTTAAACTTTACCTATTTTCAAAAAAAAAAAAAATTTGGTCCCTCGTTATTATAAGACCTTAAATTGGCTTCTAAACTAAAAAAATTTTTGATTTAATTTTTAAAATTTTTAAATTTAATTTTGAGTTAGTCATTTCATTAAAAAATAATTAATATATTTGTTATTTGATGGTTAAAGATCATTATTTAATAATCATATATTATATTAATAATGAAACACATCATTTACTTTTATTTTAAAAAAAAATTTAGAGTTAAATTTATAAATTTTAACGAACAAACTAAGAAAATTTTTAATTTAAAAACCAATTCAAAACTTTGTATAATATTTGAAAAGACCAAATTAAAGGTATAAGTATAACCATTAGAAAATGAATAGAGCACACTGTACTCGGGCTGGGCTGAGTCTGAGAGAGTTAATTTTCTTTTAAAATTTTATATTTTTTAAAAATAAAGTGTACTCGCCCACATTAAGACTGAGTGCAGTTAGCAGTTAGCACTGCTAAAAAGAATTGAAAAGACCATGAGTATCCTAAGGATTAATGGGATTATAGATAGGGAAATGTTTTTTTGTATATATATATATTGTATAATTTGATATATCATTAACATAATTGATTTTTTAAATTTATGTGAGATCCATAATATTAAATACATATACTCATTTAATGACATGTGAAAATTATATAAAAAATGAAATAAAAAAATTATCCCTATAATATCACCCTTAAAGAAATAATCGTTTATTCCATTTGGTATGTTTTTAATTTTGAATTTTGAGTTTTTTATATTTTATATATTTAGTAAGAAAATATGTTGTGCAATTCAAAATATGTCAAATTGTATAATACTAATTATTATATGAAAGTCAGGTCTCATATATTATGAATTATTCCGTCATCTAATGATTTGTATTTTTCAGTTAAACACAATTTAAATAATAAAACAAAAATTCTTATTTAGTACCTATTATTATATTTCAAAATTAAATTTTATTATAAAAATTTAAATTTATTAAATTGAATTTAAATATAGTATTAGTTATTAATATATAAAAAAATCGAAATCAAAATTATGCTAAAAAAATTTAAAATAAATATAAAATAAATAATGCTACAAAGCCATTCACCAAAAAAAAAAAATAATAATAAATAATGCTGCAAAGCCCAAATGGCATTGAGGCCCGATAAAGAAAGGAGATGAATGAGTGAGACTCCACAGCCGAATTCGAAACGGTGCGTATTTGCCGCCGGAGCAGAGGAGGTTTAAGGTGGAATGTGGACGGAGAATAAACGGTCTTGGGTTCGAACCTGTAAACCCTAAGGTTTAAAATTCAGGAGGAGCTCTACACAGAAGGAAATACTACTCTATTACGGGGTAAGTACTAAGCTTCCCATAAATTCTTTTCAGTAATTTTTTTTTTCAAACAAATCATGATTTTCCCCGCATTTTCTCGCAATGTTTCGCGCCACTTAATCGTAGAATTTGCAGAGGAATAACGTACTCACTGAGTTGCTCTTCTAAATTGGCGGCAAATTTCCCACTTTTCTTTGCCCGTTGAGAGTCGAGGTTGTATCCGTTCACTGATTCCGAGGTCCGTTTAAGTTCGGAGGAGGAGAAAATGGAAGCTCAGCCTTTAAACGACGGACCAGGAGTTAGGGTTTCGATGTTTGATTATTCTGTGGAGAATCATCTTAGGGCAATAAACACAATCTCCAAGCTTTGTGGAGAACCAGAGAATGACGGCCTCGATGAATGTGATATTCAGCGACCTTCCTCTTCAATCACTTTCATAAGGTAAAAGTTAGGCTTAAAGTCTTTAACTTTAGCAGTGGTAAGGAAACCCAGTTGTGGAATTTGTTGATTCTATTCTGGGTTAATGTTGGTGAATTATATTCGTATTTATGTTTTCTCATGTTAGTATAAAGTTTACAACTTTGGAATATGTTTTCAGGGAGTGGAGGCATTTTAGTTATGAACCACGGATAGTTAGGTTTGCTAGTGAATCGGAATGCTCTAAGGAGAAGTATGTTTCGAGTGAGGTCAATTTGCTTCAGTTTTCATCAGCAACTGTCCCTAAGGTAAATTATTGAATGTTTCCTTTCACTTGAAAGAAGAAATTTCTGCTTTTAGGACCCATCATTCATGTTTTGGGTGTGGGAACTTTGAAATCTCCTGCCATAATTTTTATGTAGCTTATCATTTTAGACTTGTTTCGATTATTTGGTTTGCTTATGGATGCAGAAGGAAGAACAATATGATGGCACCACATCTGCAAAATTCTGGTAAGGATTTTGGTTTTGTGCAATTTATATTTCTGCTTAAGTATCTTCTGAACCAAGTGATAAAACATTTGGTGGTTTTGGTTTTGTAGAAAGATTGTAGTTCTGGTTTGATCTTATTATCCTGAACATTGCAAGTGGAAAGTGCTTTGCACTGATTTCGCATCTAATTACTGAAAACTCTACTCTTTGCAAGATTATTCCAATGCTTTTTACACTGTTATGTAATCTAGCCTTCTGTTATTTCCTCACCAGCCACTTTAGCTTGAAAATTGTGGTTGCTATTGCCAATTTCTTGATGGGTGTATACATGGTTAAGGATCTAGGTATTGAAACTTTTGCTTTATTTGCAAACTGGTTGAACATGCTACCTCCTGAAATTTACTTCTCCAAATAGATTTGAAATTGAGGTCTACCATATGATGCAACAAGAGGCATGCCATGTGAAAAATTTTATACCATGCATGACAGAAGTAAGAATGGCAGCATTGAGCCCTAAGTTGAACCCAAAACATTGATTACTTGGTGGAGGCTTCAATCAGGTTCTTATACCATTTAGGCTTGAGACATAACAATGCCATTAAGTGATATGGGAGCCTAATTGAAGCCTTGTCCTATCAGCCATAGCATTTTGTTATACTTAGGGCTCAATATGCTTATAGATTTATTGTTGAATGGGAAGCTGGGGTGACAGACATGATATGATGGGACAAGAACCTTACATCGCTTGAGTGTCTCATGATAGTGAAAGTCTTTATCTTTCAGTTATAGCTCTTAGGTTGATCAGAAAAGATTTTAGTTGATGACGGAATTACTAATTCTTTGGACCTTTAAATGAGTAATATTTTGCTTAGTTTCACTTTCTATTGTATTAATACAATAAATATATGTTACTAAGACCTGATCAATGTCACATATTTCCTTGCAGTAAAGATTTCATAATGTATGTTGGAGGGTCTGTGTGGGCATTAGATTGGTGTCCAAGAGTTCATGAGAATCCTGATGGTTATGTCAAATGTGAGGTGCGTTCACCCTCCCCTCTCTCCCTACACACCCTAATTTCTGTTTGGTGTGGTTATTTGGTTTCAAGCTCCAATTTCCTTTGATTTAGAACATGTTGATTTCCTTTTATGTTGTAAGCCTCTCCTTTTCTAGATGGACCTAAGAATATGTAAACAAGGGAAAAATCATTCCGTTAGGACATCTGATCTCTTTGAAGCATGTTTAAATGCCTCACATATTTGCCTTTCAGGAGTGTTTTCCATGTTTAAATGCTTCACATATTTGCCTTTTAGGAGTGTTTTCCATGTTTAAATGCCTCACATATTTGCCTTAAATGTTATATAGTTTCTCAGCTTATTATGGTATTTGCATGACTGACAAAGTCTTTAGAATGAGCCCAGGGTGATATGAATTAGTCTTATATTGAACATTTGGAAATCCAATATTAAAATTTTTTGTTATTTATTGAATTGATTATGCCATTCATCCTCTTCCTTAACCTTTGCCTTTCCTTCCATCCATAAGATTCCAGAAGTCAGCCTTTACTTGCAATTATTGCAAAACATAGGAGTCTTGCTTTCAAGTTGAGTCTCCTGTGTCACAATGCAAGTAGAAGTTTTATGATAGGACTGCCTCTTATCTGGAATCTTCTTTTCATTCAATTTTACAAGTGGACTTACAAAGGGCTTTATTTTTAAGTTTATTCTCTTGTCTGATTGTAACTAGAAGTTTTGCAGACTGCCTCCTTTCTGGAATCTTCTTTTCATTTTTCTTTTCTTTTCCAGTTCATTGCTGTTGCTGCTCATCCTCCTGAATCTTATTATCACAAGATAGGTGCTCCACTTATTGGCAGAGGCATCATTCAGATATGGTGTATGCTAAATATTGGTGGAAAAGAGGAAGAGGCTCCTCCTTTAAAGAAAAAACGAAAACAAAAATCTGATGATAATGGCGTCATAGAGGGGAATGCCTTGCAAGTTAGGAAACCTAGAGGAAGACCTAGAAAGCATCCAGAAGATGAAACAAACGAAACATCAAGTGAGGTTAAGAGACCTAGAGGAAGACCAAAAAAGAAGCCAATTGATGAATCTCTTAATAATGTGGCTTGTGAAAATCAGTCTGTTCAGCACCTTGATGTTGAATTTACAGAAGGTTCATTTCAGCCACCTGCTATAGAGGGAGTTCCTAGGAATACAGAAGAAAATGCACCAACTAAAGGCCAGAATAAAAATAAAAAAGGTAAAGCAGAAAAAGCATCGGTATCTAAACTGGCAACTAGAACTCCTGCGCGGGGTAAAAGATTGAAAAGTAAGGCCAGGTCAAAAAGTTATGATGATAATAATTGTCTTCTGTCATTGAATCAAAGCTTTGGAGCTTCAATTCCAAAGGATATTGCTCTTCCAAGAGTGGTATTGTGCCTGGCTCACAATGGAAAAGTTGCATGGGATGTGAAATGGCAGCCTTATAATGTAAATGATTCTAAATGCAAGCAGAGAATGGGCTACCTTGCTGTCCTGCTAGGAAATGGATCTCTAGAAGTGTAAGTCATTTGCTTTTGTTGTGTGGATTTTATTATCTTTTTGAAGTTTCTGCATCATTCCCTCTTTCTCTCATTCATGCTGCATTTTTTTAGGTGGTCTTGCACTGCATATGACCTCATTTTAAATGTGATTGGCTAATTATGTGGTTCTGTACTGCTATTTCGAGATCTGCAAAATTATGGACATATTTAAAAAGGTTATTATTATTGAACTCATGCAAGTACGAGGAGTTATACTAAGGGAATATAAAAATTTAAATGGTAGTCTATGGAATGTTAAGATAGACTATTAGAATATAATATAGCTATAATATTCCATATAGGATAAATGCAAAAGATGCCTGTGATATGATGGGGCAAAGAGTAGTTGTCATGCTGATATTTAGTAAAACTGGAATAGAATGGTAAAAGTTAAAAGTATCATGATCTGGCAGGATCATTGACCTGTGTGTTGATTAAATGGACACTATCTCCAATGTACCATGTCATTATGAATCCTAACTCTTTGCCAGCCTTGTGCTGCTGGTTTGGATTTCACTATCACCAATTATAAGGTTTTATGCTTCAAGTTTCAATATAATGTATCACGGACAATGATTATATGATGCATATCCTAATACAATCTATGCAATCCAGGTGGGAGGTTCCTCTTCCCCGTACTATTGGAGTTATTTATTCATCTTCACAAAAAGATGGTATTGATCCTCGGTTTGTAAAGTTGGATCCTGTCTTTATTTGCTCAAAGTTGAAATGTGGTGATGTACAGAGGTAATACGGATATCTTACCTTTTTCTAGTAAGTCATTTGAGATTTAGATTTTACTCTAGCTTATTGCCAAATTTATTTCTGATAACTTAATGGAGGCAGTATGTTTGTTTTATTGGAATGTTGGTGAATTATTGATCTTCTTTGACTATCTTTATAGCCTTAGAATAAGTGAGGAGAGGGCTGGGGTGGGTCTCTGATGCAGTGATTCCCTCTCTATTTATGGACATTTGGTCAGCATAGCATAGCTAGATACTGGTGGGCAGAGCATAGCATTGTGGGTGCTCTAAAGGACAGTGCCACAATAGTAGCAATATTAAAGTCTATTTGCATGTTGGAGGAGAAAGAACTATTAGAAGGTTGAATCACAACAAAACACTGCATCTGAGACTCAAAATATTTTTGTGGGAGCTTCCTCATTGAGCATGGTGAAGGTGAATGGATGCAAAAGAAAATAGATATTCATTTTACAACTTTGCATCAGGTTATCAGAAATGTGCCTTTACTTCTTTAGTCTAATAGCTAAGGGAGGGTCATCTTGGATCTATCCATTCCAGGACACTTGGTTTGGTGTGACTGAGTATGTGGATGAAGCACAGTTTTCAGAGAGCCGTACCTGATGCCATGTTCCTAAGTACTATTTTTATTGTTGTGAGAAGGGAAATTTTTTTTTGGGGGGGTGGGGGGTGGGGAGGCCACAGAAAGAACATTGCATTGACAGCCAAGGTTCTCTGCTGCAATGCTCAACCATCCAAATTTATATATGTAATCAATAGGTTTCACATATTACAGATGGAGGGCTTTTCAAAAACAATAATTCACTAAAATTTGTCTGCTTTTCAGGCTAAATCTGGATCTCATAAACAGGCCTGTAGTTTTGTAACTCTTTTGCTGGATTAGCTGTCTATTCTGATCTTGGTACCTGCCATTTCTTCTTGATTCTTTACTAATACGCAGAATGCATTTTTTATACAGCATCCCTTTGACAGTTGAGTGGTCAACTTCACCCCCACACAATTATTTACTTGCTGGGTGCCATGATGGGATGGTATGTAGTACATAATGGTGTAGTTCTCCTAACCTTCTTGTACTCCAATTTGCATCTAATTTAATTTGAGGATGTGGCTGTAATGCATTTGCCTACTTCATTTGGGCCGAGTTTTCTTCCCCTTAGTGAGTTTACTCTGTAAATAAATGGATCAAATGGAGTGGGTAAACTGATTTTTTTCTGCATTAACATTTGCCCTTGACTTAGTTTCTTATCCACAAACTATTATTTTGACGTTGGTGGTAATATTATGTTTACTCATCAATTTGAATCATTTTGATATTAATACTAGAAGTTTTATCAGGTTGCTCTGTGGAAGTTCTCTCCAAGTGGTTCACCTAAAGGTGATGACAATGCATTCTTTGCCTCTGTTTTATCTAGTTAGGTAACACATTTCAACTTAATTAATTGATTTCTATGTTGGTATACAGATACAAAACCTGTGCTTTGTTTCAGCGCAGATACAGTTCCAATTAGATCTGTCGCATGGGCTCCATCCTTTAGGTCAGTGATGCCATATTGATCTGTGAGCTCCTGAACCTATATTGATTTTGGCTGGGGACACGATTATGGAGTTGGCCTTGCCAGTTAAATTATTTTATTTTATTTTTATTTTTTATAGTGGCATATATTGCTATTCTTTGGTTTTGTTTAGAATAGAATATTGTTAGTATAGTAAAATACAAAAAGCAATAATTTAGCAAAATCCTCGAGGGCAGAACTGTTTACCATGCAGCCCACTCTATATCCTTCTTCTATGTGGGATCTTAAGCACATATTATCCCATCAATTAAAGTACCAAGTTTATTTTGTTATTTGGGTTGAGAATTGGAATTGGACAAGTATAACAGTAAAAAGCTGCTCAGTGTTTACTGGAGCTTCTGTCTATTTTGCTATTAATATTTTTAGGAAGGCTGGTTTTGGAGGCAACTTAAGATTACTTTCTTCTGCCCAACTAGTGATAGGTTATGGTTGAGGTCTTCGTGATAATGATGATTGTCAAAAAGTTATTACCATTGAAGGCCTACTCTATGCGCTAATAGATATTTTTCAAAAAAAAAAGACTTACCCTGTGAACTTTTATTAGTCCATGTTTTATATTATTATGCTTGTAGATTGACATGCAAAATGCCATTGTTAACTCAGCGATTCAGAGAGCTCAAATGTTATAGTCACTGCAGGACACAGAGGTCTAAAGTTTTGGGACATTCGGTAATTTTGATACCCTTTTATTAACTGCTTACCTCACTTGAAACTTTAATGGCGAGGCATGCTCAAGAACTACAGATTCATTTTTTGTTTGCAGTGATCCATTCCATCCCTTGTGGGACTGCCATCCACACCCAAGGTTCATAAATAGCTTGGATTGGCTGCCAGATCCAAGGTAGAGTTCCAGTCCTGTTTATCGGCCTTTGTTTTGATTAGTACTGATAGTTTTCCTTTTATTTAGAATTGAATCATGAATATTTCATGCTTGTAGATGTGTAATTCTTTCCTTTGATGATGGATCAATGCGAATGCTTAGCTTAGCTCAGGCAGCGAATGATGTCCCTGTTACTGGTAAAGCTTTTACTGCAACTAAACAACAAGGATTGAACACCATCTTTACTTGTTCATCATTTGCTATCTGGAGTGTACAAGTGTCACGATTAACAGGTATTTTTATTATTAAATACTGTAAGCTCATGAAAAGGCATAGACTAGCATGCAATTCAAGATAGTGTCATGGATTAACAATTATACAGTGCTCATTGTGAAAACCTGTGTTGGACCAAACATTACTTTTTTCCTTCAAGAAAATGAAATGGCTTTGAGATAAATGAATTACTAGGCAATATTCTCAATTTGTCAAAATCTGTACTAACATCGTATAACAATTATATTTAGAGGATCTACAAGCCTAGTCCCAAATAGGAAATGAAATGAAGGACTGTAGAGGTAATTAATAATAAGTCCTCAACCCAGGAGGTCAGGACATGAAGTATCATAATAAACCTAAATAACATAATTGGATCTTGTTTTTCTAAAGAAGACTGAGGACTATATCTTTACAAAATGTTGAGAAAAGAAATAAGATTATTTTTTATGGCTTTCAATTAAAATGTTGCACAGCTAAAGGCTATTTCCATAGTTGACAATTAGGCTGCTAATTGTTTTCTAGTTCAAATCTATAAGCTTGTTTAATCAGATCATCAAGAAGATTTACTTCTTCTGTCTTCGTATTGTAAGCAAGCACTTATAGCTAGGCAGGTGGCTAGAAATTTGAAACAGCTTAATTTCTTGAATCATTATTTTCAAAATTATCCACTGACTGATAGAGTTATAAAATTTAGGCCTGGTTGCATATTGCAGCGCGGAAGGGACTGCCATCTGCTTTCAGCTTCAGGTGAGCTAATGCTCTTTGTTTACAAAATTTTTTAGTTTACCGTGGCTTTTATATTTTATGCTTCTTTAATCCTTACCTTCCATATCTGAAGCTGAGATCCATTTATTGTGTTTTGAGTTATTTAATGGCCAAACCTCTAGGTAAAATGTAGATTAGAAATTTTTCCTGTTGTGTATGAACTTGGTTCCCACTATCAGTTCTCACACTATTGACTCAGAAGTCTCGACTCAGATGTGCACCCTGATCTTAAATCTTAGATCTGTTGTTTCTCTAAACACAATTCATCCAGTTTGTCCTGTAAATGACCATATTCTCATGATTTAGAATACCTAAACTTCTTCTTACCTCATCAAATGTCATATCTTGGACTTTTACCTGCCTATCTTCTTCATTCTTGGACATGCTCTTTCTGGAAAGTCCTTGAAAATAAAGCATAGAAGATGAACTAGCAAACTGTTTCTGAGATTGAACCATAACTGAAACTGATGGAATTTATCTTTACAACCAGCTTACAGCTAAAGCAGTGGACAGGTATTTTTCGCGAAATCGGGCACCACATTTTCTTTGTGGGTCCTTGACTGAGGAGGGATCGACTATAACAGTCAACACTCCATTACCAAATGTACCTTTGCCATTTAAGAAGTCAATTAGTGATTCTGGGGAGTCCCCTAAATCGCTGCGCAGCTTCTTAACAGAGTCAAAGCAGATAAAGCGTGCAAATGATAAGAAGGCAAAAGGTTCATCTGCACATAAACTTATTTTGGGTAAGCTTAACAATCTGCCTGCCTGCCTGCTATCTAGATACAGTTGGTCCACTTTCTTTTTCTAACATCCACCAAAATTGTCAATATTAACACAGCTCCCTGTCATGACAATGATCCCGGAGTAGAATCTGAATCCGAGGAAACATTGGCAGCTCTTAATAACAAAAAGAAGCCAAAATCTAAAAGTAGCAATAAGCATAAGGCAGAACAGAATCAAGCATTGGCAATCAGAAGTGAAGACGTGACAGTTACAGAGAGCCAAGAAAATGGAACAGGGGAAGCGGTGAATCATGACGTAGAAGCTCTCCCTCCAAAAATTTTGGCAATGCATAGGGTGAGATGGAACATGAACAAGGGTAGTGAGAGATGGCTATGCTACGGAGGAGCTGCTGGAATTGTACGATGTCAGCAGATTTTAGTACCTATTGTTGGTAAAAAATCTGCTTGGAAGAGTTGAAGACACATCAACTTTGGACCATGTTGTAGGTATATGTATATTAATCATTTCAAAATCCGCTTGAAGCTAAGTGATTTGGCGTCCTTTTCTATCAAAATATTAAATTTGGGAATTATAATAGATAATCATGTCTTTCAGTTTAAACTGTATATTAAAACTATAACTTGAGCATCAAAATCATCAAAGTACTTTTAATATATATATATATATATATAATAAGAGTCTCAATAAAGATATTTTAATAAATCTAAAACTTGGGGGATTATCTTTTTCGATTTTCTGAATTGGAAAACGCATTTTTTTTTGTCTTAACAAAGATATAATATCCAGCAAAAGGGAAAACGCAAATTAGTGATCAATTGAACTATAACCTCAGGTGTGATGCATCTTTAATATCTATAAACCAAGGAGTAATGCATGCATGTAGCCATTTGACCGTCTTGTATCTTGATTTCCTAGTCACACATTGTAGATCCAGAATGGTAGCCATCAGGTTCTCCCCCTCAAACAGATTAACGTTCAATGCTTGTTCCACAGCTGGTTAGTTAAAATCCCCACTCTTCTCAACGAAAAATTTTTCAATCCAACCGATGTATATTTTACATGGTTTAACAGATCAATTAAATATTGACACATTAGCAAAAATATATTCCTTTCTCATTCACCTAGACCCAAATGAATCGCTATATAACCCCACTTTTAATGACATGTTCAATTGTCATTTATCGTTTATACTCCTGTCTCCTGACGTGGTACAATAGTCTGACAGACCTTTTCAAGACATTGTACAAAGAACCATGAAAGGAACACCGACCTCTTCACATCTATAACACAAGTTACAAACTAATAAAAGACGAGGCAAAACCATAAAACAAAAAGAAGTTTAACTCCTTATACTAGATCAGGTATGTCAATTCTGCAAGATTGTAAAAACTTGCAGTATTAACTTACAGAACGTTAGTGACATTAGCAAGCAATGCCAACTCTTCGATTGCCCTGTTCAAAGTTAAAAGCATATCCCAGGGGCAGCATCCTAGAAGGAGATACCTTCCCGCTAAAAAATGTACGGGAGAGGGGCTGTTTATTCTCATTCCTTAAGCCTTGAAGTATTTAGGCTCAATCAAAGAATAAACAGGATCTCATAGTTTCCTGCCCTTTCAATGAAGAAATACCTTCCCTCTCATTGTTCCCAACCGAAAAAAAAAAAGAAAAAAAAGAGAGACCACAAGCAAAGTGTCAAACCTTGATCTGAGGAGAGCACCCAACGATCAGTTCCTATAAGGCCTTCTGTGCGTTAGAATACGTAAGCTCAACACTGCATCCGGCACTGTTTACCATGAAGGTTCTTAAGCTTAGTAAGTTCTCTCCTCCTCTTTCTTGCCTCAGCTGCAGCTACTGCTTCCAGCACTTTTTTACTTCCATAATTGACCGGTTCTTGATTATTCGCTGCTGAAGGATTCAAAGAGTGACTTGCTCTTATGGAAGAAGCGTCAACATTAGAAATATAATCTGGCAGACTTTCTTGTTTAACAACAAATGTTGCTCCTGTAGAACTTAGAGTAGTAGGAACTATGATATTTTCTGTATGGTGGACTACTGTACAGTGACTACCTCCATCAAGAGGAAACTTGGCTGGAGTCACATTTAGATCAGTAGGTCTGGCTTCTTCTATTGAGCCACAAGCTTCCTTTTCAACTTTTATATCAATAGAAGTATTATGATTCTCCCCATATGAAGTTTTTGTAGAACTTGCACTAAATCGATTACTTACAGAAGTTTCATCTTGTATGTCATTCAGATGGCAGGATGGCTGAGGATGGAATCCATTCCCATGATCAGGATGAGGAATGAACCAGGGGCATGGGACTAAGTAAAAGGGACTTTTGGTGCCATTGATATTTATGTAATTTCCTGGATCTTGAGATGAATTGAGTTTGCTAGAAGCTGGCATGGGAATATTTGGTGGAACAACAATGGCAGTTTGGGGCCCATGCTGGGCTTGGAGTTGGTGAAAAGACTGAATCATGGAAGGCCAGCAAAAAGGGGGAAAAGGATGTTGGTTGTAGAAGAAGAATGGACGGTCTGTAGACGGTGGACCAGATATCTTACAGTGCAATGACTTGACTTCCCCAGGAACTTGTCCCTTGTCAGCTTTTATTGCCTTAGCCATCTGCGGATACGAACAGCATGTCAAATGGACAAAAAGACTTTAGAGATCGACTGCTCATCGGAGTGATTTTACCTCTGCCTTTAGATATTTATTTGTGCTCTCCAAAGACTGATACTCATTCAAGGCCAACTCCCTTTCCTACTCAGTTTAAATGATATCAAAAGAGAATCAGCCGAGAGCAACCCTATAACTATAAAAGGGCAGTAACCAAAAAACATTATTATATGAGCATTTGTCTTAAAACTAGTGGCAGGCTGGATCTGCCAACCCTGTTTCATTGCATATCAAAATAAAAAAAAAGGCATGCCAAACTCCCTCTTCACAACTTCAGAAAGGAAAAGTAACATAATAAGCCACATAGGAAGACACTGATAAATTTTGGAAAGATTTTTGGCTCACCCTTTTCAAACGTTCATTCTCCTGTGCTAAATCAGCAGCTTTTTGTGTCAACTCTGCACAGAGAGCCTGGACCAGAGTACAGACCCAGAACTTAACAATAGTAAAATAAAATTACAGTAGAATGTTAATATATATATGGCATATACATCTAAATGAGTAAATTCCTTCTAAAATTTTGATGGTCAAAACTAAGCAAGACCTCTTCCATTGCAAGCATCACCATTCTGACTATAGCAGTCAAACATTTCTAAGTCAAACCATTTTGACTATAAGCATTGAGAGCTAAAATTTTGATTAGTCTCCTGACATTTCAAAATGCCCAATATAGGTAGATTTAGACACATTGTAGACCATGAATGCAGATCTTTCCCTCTCTCTCCCTCCCTCTTTTTTTTTTTTGATAGCACAAGTCATTAAACATTTGACGAACTTTTACCCAACTAGTCCCCCAGGTGTCTACAAACCATTCCGTTCATAGAAACCAGGCAAATGTCAAGCCATGCGGGGTGGGTGTGGCCTTTTGGAAAATGTTTGCACCCAAATGACAGTGAAGGGATTCAAATCTTGGATTTGATCAAGGTTCTCCTTGTCTCTTAGTTCTTACCACCTGAGCCAACCCCAACAGGTTGGATACAGATCTTGCTTAGTTTTGACTTAATCTTAGAAGCCAATGATACAGCTTGATTCGTTTGGGATGCATACTTGGTCTGAGATTACCATCCACAGCTAGGAGCAGTGAATCTTTTAATAGAAGAATAAGTTATTCTCTCCATTACTAAAATATATACAAAATTGAAATGAAATCATCAGATGCATTTATCTACCAGAAAAGGCATGCTGAAAAGAGGGTATGCAGACCAAATAAATAAGATGAGGTTTTTCCCAAACTCTCAACTCTCTTTGTAGACATTCTCTCTTTAGGGTGTATAGTAACTATAGGTAATGAAACTAAGAAAAAGACATAAAAATAAGTAAAAGCTGAACTTAGAAACATAAAACTGAAACCAGTGTTGATTGACCAAACACAGCTTACCTGCCTTCGGCGAATTGTTTGTCTAGCTGACTCCCTATTTGCCAATATTCTGCGTAATCTTCGTGCTTCTTTCTCAGCCTGATCAGAAAAGCTTCAGTTGAGAATAAAGAGCAAAATAGGGGAAAAAGAAAGGTGAAGGAAAAAAGTTCTCTACCTCAGTTAAATTCTGTCTTGGCCTTCCTCCACCAGTTGATTTATATCTTGCCACACAACAATGACTCAGTTCAAGTGATTCAGAATTCTGCTCAGCTTTTACTGATTCTATAAATTCATTGCTTCCTCTTATCTCAACTTGCTGCTTACCTACTTTAGTTTGATCCTGTTATAAACAAAAAATAAATTTCAAAAGTCCTGCACAAAATAGTGCAACTTGGTAACAGCTCAACAAATTAGTTCAGTAAGATTTAACTAGTTTAGGAAACTAACATTAACATATCTAAGATTATCAGAAATGATGTCACATGGCATTGTAAACTTACAATCATGACGTTTGCATTCAGTTATTTAATGACTCGTCATGATTGTAAACTTTCGATGATAAGTGTCATCATAAGTATATCATCGCCCTAAGATTCTTGTACTCTCCATTCAAAAGAAAAGGCATGTCAAACATACAACACAATAAAGGAGAAGTTAGTCTAAAAAGGGGGAAAAATTCCTCTCTTTTTAGAAGAAAACTAATGGGAAGGATATTCAACATTATAATTCCGTCTAGTTTAACCCAAAACAGGCAATGTTATGAGCACAATATATATATATATATTAACAATATTTATACTAAGGATAGATTCATATTAATTCACTTTGGTGCCGAAACAATAATAAATATAAACAGTGGAAAGTGTTATTTTTATAATTTCGTAATTTTATTTACCAATTCAGGACCGACACATCTAAGAAAACTTTTCAAAATTAGGAAAAATAAACACATTGAAGATAAAGATAATACGAAGTTGATTCCACCAGGGACTACCTCCTCGACGGGATCTGAACCCGTTTGAACGGGGTCAGCCGGGTTCAACACGGAGTCCGAAGGTGGCGGCGGCGGCGGCGGCGGCGACGGCGGCGACTCACTCTTGACTCGCTTCTTGAGTCGTTTGCCTTTCCTCCCCCACTTGGCGGCGGAATCCGGGACGGTCTCTCGAGTCGCCAAATACGCCAAGCCCGCCAACGCCTCCGCAGCCTCCAACTCCAGCCGATCCGCCGCAGAAAGCGGAGACGACGCCGAAGAACTCGAAACCGACCCTCTCTCCAAATCCATAACCGCCTTTGTAAAGATGCAAGACAAAAAATAAAAAAAAAAATCCAAAATCCCAAAAAAAAAAAAGCAGCGTATCCTCTGGTTATACTGACTACTGAGGAAGGGGGAGAGAGACAGAGAGAGAGAGAAAGAGAGGGAGATTTGCTAATTGCTATACTTAGTTTAGAGGGGAGACCATGAGACAGCGAGGGAGTGACACGTGTCGTGCCAGCTCAGGGTTCGACATCCTATGCTAGGTTCCTTCGCGCTCCGATGTATGAATGAGTGCCACGTTTCGAAATTCTGCCACGTAGGAGATTTGTCGCGCCTTCCGTACGGAACGTGCGGGAGCGGGAATGGAGGACACTTGGGCTTGACGATTTTGTAGCCCACGTGGTATTTTGCCATTGTCCTTGACCTCTTTTCTTTGGGCTGGCATGAGGTGGGAAAGGGAAGACCAGTCGAAGACAAGTGGAATTTACCGGTTTTTTTTTTTTTACCATCAAGTGTTGTAATTTTCTTGATAATGAAAATTTATTTTAAATTTTATAATATTTTTATGATATTAAACGAGTTGATTTATATTTTATCATAAGTTTTACCTTAAATTAATGGAATTAATAAGAGTTACATCATGTAAAATATTGTAAGATTTTATTATAAAAAATATTTGATAATTGTTTTAAAAATATTAT